TTTTTCCAGTTTAAAATACTAGTACGAAGAGGCTCAGATATTGGCAGAAAGAATGACTAGAGGAAGTCATGTAGAAATGGTGACACAGTGGCCTGCTAAAATAGGGGACAGTGGACCGATCATCTCCAGGGCCTGTATTTCTTAAATTGTAGCGTCTACAGACATTCTGGAAAGGATCGTTTGGTTGGGATTTGTTCCCAAGTAGATTCCCAGAGATGATATTTAGTGCATCCACCATACTTGGCCATCATCCCTTGTCATGGTGCCTCTTGTTCTGATGATGTTCTAGAAACACCCTTGATCTGTACCGCCCTATGTGACTTCCCGTGACTCCTCCTTTAAGGCCACCACTGTCCCCTTTCCTCACCTGGCCTGAGAGAACAATGATTTTTAGTGTCTTCGCAGTAAATCCCCACTGATGACTACTTATTCGAGAGCAATCTGTTGATACTCTAATTATGTAGGCAGCGATAATCAAAGAAAACACTCAATTCTTTATAAGAATTAAATCCATATTTTGAATCTTCCTTCAGCCAACTGAGTATTAATGTTAAAAAAACAGTAAAATTACCAAGAAAGAGAAATACATGAAGAAAATAGCATTCTGTCCACTGGTTATCAGACGACCTGGTTTTCTCATCGTTTCCCTGTTTCCTTACAGGTTACAACTTGTTTCTTGTCGCTGCCCACGAGTTTGGCCACTCCTTAGGTCTCGACCACTCCAAGGACCCAGGAGCACTCATGTTTCCCATCTACACCTACACTGGCCAAAGCCACTTCATGCTTCCTGATGACGATGTACAAGGGATCCAGTCTCTCTATGGTAACTCTTAATTTATCAGTTTAGAAACAGAATAGGTACAGGCACTTATTTTCAAAATCATTAGTGAATTTCTCATGACCAAAATTACTGTCCTGGTTCTGTTTTGTTTTTTTTTTTAACGTTTATTCATTTTTGGGAGAGAAAGGGGGTGCAGAGTACGAGCAGGGGAGGGACAGAGAGAGAGGGAGACACAGAATCTGAAGCAGGCTCCAGGCTCTGAGTATCAGCACGGAGCCAGAACCCACAAACCGTGAGATGATGACCTGAGCCAGAGTCGGATGCTTAACTGACTGAGCTACCCAGGCACCTCCTGGTTGTTATTAGAACCTGGAAAAACACACCCTTTTTTTCTTTTTTTTTCTGAATCAGATGACCTGCTCAAGTAGAAAGTGTTCTATTCTCCAAAGATTTTGCAGATTCTTATTTGTATTTTGTATTTTGATACCCTTAAGACACCTCTGCCATAAGGAAGGAAAATATTTAATTAATTCCCCATTTGGCCAATGAAGCAACTAAGCCCCGGAGCTTAAGTAGAGAATCTGCAGGACAGGGGCCAAGGGTGACAGTGAGGTCTTGACCGGCTTCCGTAAATCTTGGGTGTTCCTTCAACCCCTTCAGTTTGCCACCATAGAAACCGTTCAAGCGGCCTGTGGTGACTTAACCAACATCTACAGCGACTGTTGTAAGAATCTCCTCTTTCTTCCTTCCAAATTTTCAGCCACGTTTACAAAGTAATTAAACCTCTCCCGAAACAAGCACACTTGCCTGCTGTAAAGAGGGCTAAAGCGGGGCACCTGGGTGGCTTGGTCGGTTAAGCGTCTGACTTCAGGACGCTCAGTCGGCTCAGGTCATGATCTCACGGTCCGTGGGTTCGAGCCCCGCGTCGGGCTCTGTGCTGACAGCTCAGAGCCTGGAGCCTGTTTCAGATTCTGTGTCTCCCTCTCTCTCTGCCCCTCCCCTGTTCATGCTCTGTCTCTCTCTGTCTCAAAAATAAATAAACGTTAAAAAAAAAAAAAAAGAGGGCTAAAGCCGCAGTGAAGGGTCGTCGGTGTAAATGCTTCTGAGCACAGAGCTTGGGACACTTCCTGTTTCCCCCTGTGCGCTCAAGTCTGCGGGGGCAGCCAGCGTGGGCATGGGCCAGCCTTTCTCCTTACTTCTCCAGGGTTGGGAGTGAGGTGCTTGATGGGGCAAAGGACGAACTCAGTGGGGAGAAGGCAGCTCAGAGTTGTCACTGTGCCCGGCACGCGCGTGAGCCGGGGGGTGCAGGGGCCACATGCTTGTGGCACGCGAGTGTGGCTGGGGAACCTGGCTGGGCATGCAGAGCGGTGCTGGGGTGGACTGGGGAGGCAGCCAGCGCGGACGGGACGCTGCCAGCAGGTGACAGCTGGGGCGAGGCTCCCTTGGGGATGACGAGCCACTAGGAGTGGCTCGAATGTGTCTCTCGGCAGCAGCCCATCTGCAGCTGGGGCAAAGCCCACGGAGGGTGCCCTCCCACAGCCCACCCATCCCTAACACCAGCCTCAAACCTGAACTTGTACTTGAGAAGGGTGTCCAGGGGTCTGGAAGGACGAGAGCAGGGGGAGCCGCAAGAGTGGGGGCAGGGAGCAGGGTCACATCGTGTGTGCATCATGACGCAGAGGCTGAGGACCTGTCGCCCTCCCTGGAGGGGACCCGCCTGCTGTGCGTTAGCGGGGTTGGGTCATCCGAGAGGCCATCCTCGTCACCTTCTGCCCTTTGTGTCACGACTGCAGGCCCGGGAGATGAGGACCCCAACCCGAAACATCCCAAAACGCCGGACAAATGTGACCCGTCCCTGACCCTCGACGCCATCACCAGTCTCCGAGGAGAGACCATGATCTTTAAAGACAGGTGCTTGTGATTCTAGTTTGCACAACTTGCGGGTCACAGACGTTCATCAGCTAGACCCGTGCATTGCCGCACATCCAGGCAGATTTCCACATGTGAAGTTAACAGCGAAAATAAGGCATCTTTGGGCAGTTTGGTTTTCTTCTTTTTCAGTTTTTGGTGTTTTTTTGACGTGTTTCGGATGAAATGAATGACTGATAGATACACACCTTACTTTTCAATGGGGATTATTGGCCTAACGTAGCCTCTCTTTATGACTTTGGTTACATTCGTTCCTGTAAAGATAACCAAGTAAATGTAGAAAACCAGGTTGTTTGTCTTAAAAACACGCATTTTGAAATCAATCCCTGTATTAGTAAGTGGTTACAGTGTCCACATGAATTCCTTTTGGTTTGGGAAGACTTTTTTTCTGGTAACGTATGTGGGAATTTGGGAGAGCGAGTTATTTAAAACCTAGACCTCCCTGTGGGGAGCGAACAATGAATTTTTAACTTCACCTTAGAACATTCTTCTCATATGCTGATTTGTTAACTTGTTCATTTATTCATCCATCAATTAACCGCTCCCTTATCTGTGGTCCAATAGCCTTCCTACCTCCCCTAGTAGAGCTCTGGTTACACTGTAGCCCAGGCATTTTCTCAGGCATCTGCGTCTAGGCCCCAAAATCTTGGAAGACATAGTTTTTGTAACCCCGGGTTTCTTTCCGGAGCCTAACACAGCGCCTGGCGCATTCGCTCACCGCTTGCACCATTTCCAAAACTGAACAAAGCGTGGCCGTAACTCACGAAGGCCGCGGGGCCTTCGAGGGTCTGTGAGATTTCAAACCTTCCTACTTTAGACAGCAGCTTTATCCAGCTGGCACGGAAGGGAAACGTCCACAAGTGAGGGGGATGATCGCCCCAACTTCCCTGTGTGGATGTGGAGACCGGGGGCGGGGGGGGGAGCGGCTAGCAGGACCAGAAATACCTACACTTCAAGACTGTGACAGCAAACTGTGCGCTTCTCCTTTTCCGGTAGATTCTTCTGGCGCCTGCACCCCCAGCAGGTGGACGCAGAGCTGTTTTTAACAAAATCCTTTTGGCCGGAACTTCCCAACCGCATCGACGCCGCCTACGAGCACGCCTCCCGTGACCTTATCTTCATCTTTAGAGGTAAGCCTTTCCCCAGTGAGGCAGAGAGGAGCCTGATGCTGCGAGAGCCGTAGCAAAATGACCCTCCTCCAAAGTACCCCAAAGAAGAACCCACGGTAACAAAATAGGAAGCCGACCGTACCTGGAACCTTTCTACCAAGCGTCCCCAAATGCGACAAGTGAAAAGTCTGCGGTATTACTTATCGTTACAAATCTACTGTTTGTTTTATAGTGATCATGCCAGTTTTTTCTTATTTCCTCTTAGAAATTATTTGCTGAGCAAACCTGATCAGGAAAATGGGAAAAAATATTATCCATAATTCCCACTTCTGAAAAGTCGATTTATTTCATTTCCTTACTTGTTTTAGTAGTTCTTCGCCATAGGTAGTGTATATTTTTGAATATTTATTGTCATAGCGTATGTACATTTTAATATTTTACTTGTTCCCTTGACATAAAATCACAGTTTTCCAAACTGCTACTCTGTCTTCGTGATCATAATCTGTAAAGGCTACAAGCATTCTACTAACATTGTTTCTGTTGTTTCACCATTATAATTAGCGCTCTAATAAAGTCACTTTTAAGAGAAGGATGTAACAACTTTCTATCTGGTTTAATATTTGAGCTTTCAATCTAATGTACTGTTCCCACCGTTATTCACGAAGAAATCTCAATGTCCTTTTCACCCAACTCCAGATTAACATTCAAAGGTAATAAATAACCAATTAATGATGGGGTTTCATTGCTAATTATGCTCAGAATTAGGAAATTAGTATCTTAGATCCTGTTTTTGTTTGACAAATGCTCTTATTTCTATGCTTCATAAACATGGTGACCACAAATGCTAATTTATTTGTAAATGTATAAAATGAGTCTTTCTTTGTTAACGTACGTACCTACATAATGTGTCCTAATAGATTCCCTTGCATAATAAAACCGTTCTTTCACTTATTCTAGGCAGAAAATTTTGGGCTCTTAATGGTTATGACATTCTGGAAGGTTACCCCAAAAAAATATCCGAACTGGGATTTCCAAAAGATGTTAAAAAGATAAGTGCTGCTGTCCACTTTGAGGACACAGGGAAGACGCTCTTCTTCTCGGGAAACCAGGTCTGGAGGTATGGCCGCCATGTTTACTGATTTGCCTGGGGGCAGATCCCGTGGCAGGGATTTAATCGTCTCAGTGCTCTTGAAAACACACATGTATACACACAGTGCCCACCTCCTCGGAGCCGTTCTTTTCTCTCGTGGCCACTTGTTGTACCTCAGCTCTGTTGAAGCCATCTTTTACTTGGACATCTTCGTTCTCACTGGTCTTTCTCCTGGCTCCTCTTTCTTGTCAGCTTGTAATTCACAGGCAGCTCCACCTTCTGTGGCCGGAGAAGACACAAGAGCAGGTGGAGGAGAAGACTGAGAGAGAGAAGGCCGCCCCTTCCTCGTGTCTGCTCACCCAGACGCAAGGGGAGGTTGGCCAGGAAGCTGCTAGGCCTACGATTCTTGAAGTCAGCCCCTTTTTGAAGGACAGGTGGAGTTAGAATATTTAGAACATACGTAGATATCAAGGCAGCTTTGATACTGGCAACATTGAAGATTCTAGAGCCAGATAGACAGATATATAGATATAGACATAGATATAGATATAGATATAGATAGATAAGTAGATAGATGAAAATATATATATTTCATATATATATATATGATTTTAGGATGTCTTTGGTTGGCTAGGGCATGCCTATATATATATAT